TCTTCAGTAGCAAGGGAGGGATGTGGAGGTCAGGGACTGGCCTCGCAACCACATCTAGATGCAGCTGCGTGAGAATGGGGGAGGAAAGTGCACAGGATGAGTACCAAAAATTGTGTAACTCTCACTGATTTCATAGCCATTGAATACTCCATCCTTGGAAGATGCTGTGGAGGGCTTACATCTGAGAGAAAAGGTGCTCCGTCTGGCCAAAATATCCTACCTACGAAAGCAGACAAGTCAGAGGATTCATAGGGAAGGGAAGGAGAGTAGGGCAGTGCAAGTCTCTTCTGATATTCAGCTGGTATGTAAGTGCTGCTTAAGCCAAAACACTCACTGTATGGCAGCTAATAGACCTTTGCTCTTTTCATCAGCCGAACCAGGTGCACAAATCCAAAGCTGAATTTCTCCTTCAGTATCTGCTTCTGGTCCCCACTGGTACCCTTTCAGACTAGCATTTCCAGTAGCATATTATGGACAGTGACAAAACTGGTGGAATACCCATCCCATGAGATGGAGTCATGACAGCTTTCAGTTGCAAGGGGGTGGGTGATGACCAAACCTGCTAGCTGAGGGTCAGTTTTGCACCAGTCCCAGCAGGACATTCAAATTAATCCCCAAAGCCACCTCTGGCTTTCCAGCTTTCCCCAGGAGTCTTTGAAATTTTGATTTCATAAGAAAATTGTTGTCCGCAGTGACAGTCCCTGCCTGTAGTTTAAATCTATGATCTTTAAGAAAAGCTCTTTGTGAGTACCCGAATGGGATGCACAGAGAAACCCTTTACCTCTTTTCTGTGGGCTTTTAATATGCAGCTTCTCTCATCCGGTGCCCACATTGGGTCCACGGGGTCTAGAAGGAGAATTGGCAAATGTCATTGAGCCAGGTAATGGCATTGCTGCCCTGAGGGGCCCCCTCTGTGGGATGATATTACTCCCACATCAGGCAGCTTTACCAGCCCTCGCATTTTCTGGCACATTAAATCGCCAGTGAAGTTGGGATTGTTCTTCTCCAGCACTGCTGAAGGGACCAGGTTCAGTTTTAAAAGCAGATGAAGAAAGATGAGGTTGAAAACCATTTTCAAATTTACTCAATTTGATAAATGTATTTGGAAGAGGAAAGTGAAACCCCCTACAGAGAACTTGCTAGTTGCACTTCCCCTTTGCAGACAGTGCCATGCTTACACTGACGGTATAATTCAGTTCCTGTTTTGCTGCTCTGTCTGACATTTTTCAGAATGTGCAATGCTTAGACACTTATTTTTACAGAACAGTAAAAGACCTCAGACTAGCAGTCACCAAATTACTGATGGAGTAAGTCTTTTACCTTAGGTCACTGGCTCTAAGCCATGCAGGCTGACCACACTTCTCTTCTGAAAAAAATCAGCAGTCGGCTGCAAAGAGCACGAAAAAAACACCTGAGTAATTTCACCTTTTTTGCCAAAAAAAAAAGAGCAGAGCTCCTCTTCATCATTCATGAAAGTGGTGGGCTGTGTCACCGAGACAGGAAAAATGACCAGGAATGGGAGAGGTTGCATTAATATCATGGGGCAGGAGAGAGCCAGCACTGAGCTCTTGGGTGAGAGGAGCAGAACACGTGTCTTAGTCATGGAAGGGGCCAAGGGCTGGTGCATGCTCTGGCGTGAGAGTGAGAAAGTGAGGCTTCCCACCTTCCTCCCAGTGGGAGGGAGACTGCCAGTCCAGCCCCTGGAAGTCAGGGGGACTGTGTTCTCCTTGCAGTGCAAGGAAGGGAACATTTTGCATCTGAATGCCCCGGTACGGTGCTTTCCCTTGACTAGAAGACATAGAGT